GTTGCTTTCTGGTTTTAGCGTGGGGGAAGGAAGGGGACGTGTATTTGAATATGTAAAGCGTGGTTTAGTAAAGCGTTTTACATAAAGCGTCTTATCAAACCACGTTTTAGTTAAACGTCTTATCAGTTTCAGGTAAAACGTGGTTTGAAAAAGCATGTTATATAAAACGTTGTTTTGAAACGCGCTTTACCTTAACGTTCCAATCAGACGTTAAAGTAAAGCGTGTTTCAAAACTACATTTTACATAGTTTGGTCATTAAATTTTTGTACTTATTTTGATATTTTGAGTCAAAAAACCACAATTGGGTTCCGGATATCAGGTGGATAAAATCTGGAAGCCCGAAAGAATCCGCCTACGTAGAGTTGCAGAGCACACAGATTCTACGCTAGAATTAACTAGTTAACTAGAATTAATACCAGTCAACATAATGACGTAAGCTTACCAACTTCTAACTAGAGACTTACACGTGGCTAACTCGTACACCCGAAACTTCAATCAACTGAAATGGATAAAACTAGTTGGGGTCCGCCCAGCTTCATCAAAGCATCCAAAGTGAGAGTGAGAGAGGGGGAAAAAGCAACAGTATAGCAGAGCAGAGGTCTAGAATCAAAGTATCTGAAACCTGGCCATACGCAATTTTCATTTCCACTTTTTCTCTTCCTTGCTTAGGTTTTCGCGATTCATCATTTCTCTCGATCTTACTTCTTCCTCGCCATTTCCAGATCATAAGTTTTGCCATTGCCGAAATGTGAGCTGCTCACTTCAAGCTGCAGGTACGTGTCTTCTATTTACTTTATGTTCCCTGAGATTCCTTGTTTTTTTTGTTCTCTGCTTCCTTAGAAAAATAGAACGCAAAGAAGAAGAATAACAACTCCGTTTCGGAAAGCTTAGCTGGTTCCAAACTCAATAAAAGTGAAGGTTTGCTGTCTGAGTGTGTACAGAGGATTTATATAGCGTAACTAACCAACTAGTTTGAGATTGAGGTGTAGTTGATTGATTGAAGTGAAAAAGGTATGCTTGAGCTTTGATTAGTACAAAACTATATTTCACAAAGCCCATATAAAGTGTGTATGTAATTGTGCAGTTCATTTTGCTTTTGTTTCTGTTTCTATGTTCCGCATGCTAGTCCTGTCCGCTATTACTGACCGGAGGTGGACTTACAATGTTGCTTCTGTAAGTTTGTTGTTGTCTCTTGATGATCATTGGGTGGATCGGATCATAGTGAACATACACCACGGACACTAGGTCAATGCAATAATCAGTGCTTATGAAACCGTGCTTCGCCTTATTTTGCATTTATAGGGGATAGGAGTAGCACGCTGCACGCCTTCAATATCTTAACTGAATATCAAGTGGCTGGGGTTCTGTTTGCGTGAATTAAGGTCAATGTTATATGAATGTCTATATCATGCAATTTCTAGATTTAGTAATCTGCTCAAGGACACATTACTGAGTGTTAGTATGGTATCACTTGCGTCCTTTCTAATTTATGTGTATATATTTATGATTCAGGTTTTTAGAAGCTGATGATCTGTCATTTGAGTTGTACTCATTTATCAATACTATAAGCAAGTTTATTTGTAATTCAGCGATATGGCTTCTGGCGTTATAATACCTTCAGCAGGTGGAAAACCTATGACTGATACCATGCTTATTGACAATCTCCCTAAAGAAATAAATGAAATGAAGATCAAAGATGACAAAGTAGAAAAGGTTGTTCTTCTAAGTAGACGAGTACTCTCTTTTTAAGATATTCTTTTCCTTGTCTGTACTTGCTTATCTGTGCAAGTCTCGCTGTGATAGGAAATGGAAACAGCTGTAGTGGATGGAAATGGAACTGAAACAGGTCACATCATTGTGACAACTATTGGGGGAAAGAATGGTCAGCCCAAACAGGTGACATGTTCAGTCATTTCGTTCAAGCTCGATTGTTTCGCCAAATTAAATTATTCATTCCCCACACTTTTTTTATTTTTCGAAATTTTCCTGGATTTTAGAAATTACCAAGTATTGCTATCTGTAAGTTCAGAAATTGATTAGCAAAAAGAAAAAGTTAAGTAATTGGACCTACAATGGACGTCTAATGACAGGGATAACTTTGCTTGATGTTGTTCTGATAATATTTAGGAGAGTCAGTGGACACTTTGTTCTGGGTTTTATTTAGGATATAGCTCTAGATTGCAAATTAGGCGAGGTTGCATGCTCCTACTTAACTTAATTTAGTATTTCATTGTCTTGTGTTGATAATTTAAATGCTCGTTATAACCATGTCTAAGTCTGGCACTGATTCTGTGATACTTACTTGGTCCCACAAACAGAGAAATAATTAAATAAGTTAAATAGTTTCAACTGAGCTATTTCTTTTAACTTCATGTTGCTGATCATTTTTATCATTTCCATCTTTGAATTTTCTCTTATGTGGTCTTCTGGTGTGCAAAGTTTTTTTTGCTAATGTTCTCTTTGGCCTTCAGACCATCAGTTACATGGCAGAGCGAGTTGTTGGACAGGGTTCCTTTGGAATTGTGTTCCAGGTATGAGTTGTTAATATGTCACGGATGGTTACTGTCATAATCAAGAATGTTGTATGACAGGGGTTTAAAAAAGTAGTGGCAACATACCCCCTTGGCCATAAAATTTTGTCACTGGTTTGAAGTCTCATTTTTAAATTTGCAGGCCAAATGCCTTGAATCAGGAGAAACTGTGGCAATAAAAAAGGTCTTGCAGGACAAGAGATACAAGAATCGGGAATTGCAGACTATGCGACTTCTTGATCATCCTAATATTGTTTCACTTAAGCACTGCTTCTTTTCGACCACAGAAAAGGAGGAGCTCTACCTAAATTTGGTTCTCGAATTTGTACCTGAAACTGTCTACCGTGTGTTAAGACATTACAGCAAAGCCAACCAACGGATGCCTATGATATATGTCAAGCTGTACACATATCAGGTTTTCCATCTGAGTACATAACTCAAGTTTCTGTCATTGCACCTAGAAACAAATTAAGATAGGGTTAATGACATGAATGTTGCCTAAAATTCAACCAAACTACATGTACCTCCTCCTTTAGGGTAAAGATGATCGTGACTGCTGCTCTAGTCTGACCAAGTTGTTACGGAAACTTCTTTCGCCTTTAATTCCTGTCATCATGTTCAAATTGTTATGATGTATGTAAAAAGTGTAAATCTTGTGAAAGTGTAAATATCATGGCAACTACTGTCTTCGATGTCAATTAAGGGACCCATTCTTCGTAAAGAAAAAACAAGAAATAATAAAGAAGGTTATCTTCGACCTGAGGGAAAATAGCTCTACCCAATTACTGCTCTTTTCTACTTTCAGAAAACACAGAGAATTAATCTTATATTTTAAATGTATAAGAAATAAATGAGAAAGGTTTTTCAGTTAAATAGTCTTCAAACATAATGATTGCTCCCAATTGTCTGATTGGAGATGTTTACTTTTTAAAATTAAAGGGAGATTCATTTAGCTTCGGCTAAACCACATGTGCAGGAGATTTGAGCAATTCACCCCTGTAGCTATGTCTTTTTTTTTGCTCCAACCTATCAGAAAAGCGATATCTTTTAAAACAACAAGGTCTCTGTTTTGTAACTGTTAAAGATGAAATATTTAGAGCTATTGCGCTTATCTATCATGGAGTAAAATGCCTCCCTGGTTTGTGCGATTATGCAACTCTTACAGTGAATTGTTGTTACTGCTTATGGCTTGTAGCAAAACCTCTTCACTACACCTACCTTAGTATATCTTTTTGGCAACCTATGTTTGATTGATGTTGCACCTGTACAGATTTTTAGAGCTTTGGCTTACATACATGGGATAGGAGTCTGTCACAGGGACATCAAGCCTCAGAATTTACTGGTTTGTGCTTGAACTTCAAATTCAATCAACTAAAAGCATTATGATATTGACTATTTCAATTTACTACTGCAGGTCAACCCCCACACACATCAGCTTAAGCTCATCGATTTTGGGAGTGCCAAAGTCCTGGTAATTATTACATGTGATCTTTTAGTCATGGCTTGTTCTGGAACATAAATATTCTTTTTAATCATTTGTTCGACAACTGTGAAATGCTACTGTCTATCACTTTCAGCTTTGCATGCGGAAGAGGATTTGTTAAAATGAGTTTTAATGGACGCTAAGTACAGTTGTGTCATGTTTTGTCTGATGATTCAGGAAAAACTTGTGCTCTGCATTGTCATAACTATGCCATTTACAATTTGTTACAAGAATTTAAAGGAAGTTGAATGATATTATATTATGTCAATCCTCTGATAATTCAGGAAATGAAAGTGTTCCAGAATGTTATATGATATCTTATTTTCTAATTTTTAAGGGCTCTATTGTGTTCTTATGAATTTGATCTTTTGCTTGTTGGGTTTTACCAATAAATTGACTGATCAAGAAGTACCTTGCAAAACTACTATATGGAACTTTTTTTCTGAAATAACATTACCTTTATTCTTTCCCTGTCTTTATTAATCTTCCAGGGGTGTTATGGTGGGTGGAAGGTTTGGCTTTGTCTTATCTAGTGCTCTCATTTTAATAGTTCGTGTCCCTATTTCTGTCATCATAACAGGTCAAAGGCGAGCCAAATATTTCATATATTTGTTCACGCTACTATCGTGCACCTGAACTAATATTTGGAGCAACTGAGTACACCAATGCAATTGACATTTGGTCTGTGGGTTGCGTCCTAGCGGAACTGCTTCTTGGGCAGGTTGTATTTCCTGTGGAATTAATTATTTTTATTTTGATACAGAGACAATGTCATAAAAATTGATTGTTTCATGCTTATCATTTCCCTTCCAAATCCTGTAGCCCCTCTTTCCTGGTGAGAGTGGTGTCGATCAGCTCGTTGAAATAATCAAGGTATCTGTCTAGCTGATTAGATGACTATTCAATTTGTGATCTTTGGTTTGCACAATACAACAAATTGAAATGTTCGCTTTAGGTTCTTGGCACACCAACACGTGAGGAAATCAAGTGCATGAATCCAAATTACACAGAGTTCAAGTTCCCGCAAATCAAAGCTCACCCCTGGCACAAAGTAAGAATCCTGATCTATGATCATATATAGAATATACATTTCTGATGCATTGCATCACATCAGAAACTCATGGCCACATCTTGCTTGCACAGATTTTTCATAAGCGGATGCCTCCTGAAGCTGTGGATCTTGTATCAAGGCTTCTCCAGTATTCTCCAAATCTGAGGTGCACTTCGGTGAGTGTAACAAGTTCTGTTCCTGTATTTTCTCTTTTCTTTTCTTTTCCTCCAGTGAGATCCTCAGCTGCAAACGCAGTGGTGAGGTTAAAGAATGTAGTATTGGTTGAAGCTCCGAAATCAAACATGAGGCAGCATCCATTTGTGTAAGAAAACTTTAGGTGTCTTTCCTTTTGGGATGGTTTTAAAAAATTGCGGAACCATGTTATTCTAAGGCAGAGCCACAGTTAGAAGATCATAAGTTCCGTTTGGAGGATAGACTACTTTTCATCCATGATGATTCACTCTAAGGCAGAAGTACCATGGTAGAGGACCTTAAGTTCTTTATAGGAGTGACTACTTCTTCTCATGTTAGAATTATGAGAGAGGGAAAGCCAGGTGAGAACTGCCGTTGTGGTCGTTTTCCGCTGTTGCTTCAAAATTTGGAACAATCATTTGTTTTCCATTACCAATTATACCAAGGTCACCTTGGAGACCTACCTCAGGGAAGGTCTCTTTGTGGTTACTAAAAAGTACTGTTGGTTTCACTGTTGAAGAATCAAGTATTGCTAACTTCTCTCACTGGACTTGATATCAAATCCGGAATGATTATGTCATCTTTGTGATGTCTCAAAAAAGAAAAGATGCTATAAAACAAACTTACAAAAAAGAGAAATAAACAGTGAATTATGTGTTACCCACAAAAGCAGATGTTATGTGTTACCTACAGAACCAGTTTTCCTTCACCAAATGGCGATTTGATATTTTATGTCACCAATAAAAACGGCCTAAGAGGAGCATTCCTCGATTCAGTTCCATTATTGGCTAATTTTCGAGTTTTCTGTCCTTGCTCTAGTTGTATAACATGAAGAAGAAATGTATATCATGGTTTTGTGTGCTCGATCTGATTCCTTTTTGCAGTTGGAAGCTCTTGCTCACTCTTTCTTTGATGAACTCCGTGACCCTAATACTCGTCTTCCTAATGGTCGTCCATTGCCACCTCTGTTCAACTTCAGGCCTCAAGGTTTAATTATTATGTTCTCCACCAGTTTTAGGAATTTGTTCTTTTCCTTCATATATTATTTTTCTCATAATGAAATACTATCATTTTGCAGAGCTGAAAGGAGCGTCTCCAGACCTCTTAAACAAACTGTTACCAGAACATGCTAAAAAGCAGTGTCCCTTCCTTGGCTTCTAATCTTATATATGAATGTGTATCTTTGTAAAATTAATCTTATTTGTCACCACTGTATTTATTCCCCATATATGTTGACCCAAGGAATAGGACAACGTTTGACATCTCCATTCCATTATATGCCTGCTAGATTGTCTAATCAGCTGATTTTGACATGTAGACCAGAAACAATTAATCGTAAATAGTTATGTATCGTAAAAATTTACCTTATTCGTGAGATGTATGCATAGTTTAAAATACATTTTTATATGCCAAACCAAATCTGTTGAGTCCATTACCCCTGTTTGCGCGTGCACGTAAATTTAACGTAATTTACTCAACGTTCCAACTAGAGCCCCAACGTTAACGTAAAATGAAATTAGACACGCATGGTATTGTTGATTTGCTGTGTCTTTTTTCTTTGGCCAAATACATAAACGGCCCCTTGAAGTTGTCCTCAACGACCAGCTGAACACCTCAATTGATCCCTTTATCATTTAGACACTTTAAGTGACTGTTAAGTAAATCAAATAGACACATGTCACTGATGTGGCATATGCGTGATTGCTAACCAATTTTTGAGCATGTGATACATTTTTGCAGCCTAATTTTTTTTTTTGAAAAAAGAAAAAATACAAAATACCCTCTCTTCTTCTTTCAAGTGCAACCCACCATGAAACCACTATAGCTTCCATGAAAATTCTATAGTTTCCAATGATTAAAAATTAAACTCGAATTATTTTTATACTACTCATTTTGTGATTGCATTGTAGAACCATTATCTTAATCAAGGAGTGCCTTTGTATATGTACACCAAGAGAAGCATTCTCGGAAGTGAAGAGCTTAACATTCTCAGGCGATTGACTCACTGTTTCTGATCCCTATCTCGGATTTCTTTATTTTCCGGCGATTGACTCACTGTTCAACTTAACAAGGGTGCTTTGAGCCAACCATGAAACCACCATAGATTCTCTGCTTTGGCTATTCTCTTTTGTTTCATATTTGTATTAGTTTTATGGAAAAATTTAAGTTTAAATTTCAAGTATGAATGGATAATGGAAAGATCTATGTCTAATGGAGAGTGGATTAGGGAAAAGGGGAAGGAGACGCAGAAGAAGGGCAGAAGGAAGAAGATGAATGGGGGTGGGGGTGGGGGTAGCGCTGGTTTTGGTTTTGGAAGGAAGAAGATTAAGTGGGTGTGTGTGTGGGGGGGTGGGGGGTGGGGGGTGGGGGGGGCGATGCTTTGCTTAATAGTGAGGGGAAAAAGTTTATTTCTTCTTTAAATTCATTTTTTTTAATTATAAGTGTTAAGTTTTAATTATAAATTACACGTGTCGTTCACTGATTGACTCATTTGACACATCATTGGCAAGTGTAACTCACGTATCCGGTATGTTGCGCTTGGGTGTCTATTTGATTTACTTAACAGTCACTTGAAGTGTCTAAATGATAAAGGGATCAATTGAGGTGTTCAGCTAGTCGTTGAGGACAACTTCAAGGGATCGTTTATGTATTTTGCCTTTTTCTTTTTTTGATCTTTATAAGCTATGAGACGTAGTATCCACAATTCTCGTTATCATGTGTCATATTCCATTTCGATTTGTAACTTAAATGTTGACGTAGTACCTTTGTTTATTTAATGTATTTTTATCTTTCAAATTAAATCTACCTCCTCTATAATTATCAATCTATAATGGAACAACATAACAAATTACACGTAGTACCTTTGTTTATTTAGTGTATTTTTATCTTTCAAATTAAATCTGCCTCCTCTATAATTATCAATCTATAATGGAACAACATAACAAATTACAGCAGCTCCCCTATCTTGTATCCTAAAGTCTTGAATAGGAAATTGATTTATTGAATCCGAATTGTCGCTCTACCAGATCTCGACTTCAATCATGATAAGATCATAATCTTCTTATCAAATTTGTTACGGTTAAAAGCTATCATATTTTGAGATATAATCAAATTGGTTTCTAGTCCTAGTTAGAGATCATTGTGTTCACGTTGACGGTTCAATGAAGAGGCGAAACTGTTGTTTTCCTTTTCAGTACAAACCACACGCTTTGTCTTCTCTCTCGTCATGTCTAGTACTTTTGAAGAAAGTAGAGAAAAGAAGTTAGACATATTGTAGTATCTAAAAAATTTCCTTCTTAAAAATAGAATTATGTAACACTGTTTCACTTTCTTTTTCTGGAGCGTTTGTTTGACATCATTTTATTAAAAATATTACTTTATAAATTGCAAAATTTAATCAATCAATTAATATTTTTACGTGCTACTTTTTCTTTTTCAATCTATAAGTTCAACAATTACTTATTTCACAAGTGAAATACATTTTTTTCTCCACGCCAGATTAAACAGTATCAAACAAACTGCTATTAGCGGACAGAGTATTTTATCCAAATATGTTTCCTCTATTGTGTAGTGAGGATGTTTGTTGGTAAGAGAATTGGTGACAGACGCGGTTTTCTATTTGGGCATACTAACCTAACCATGGTTAATTAACTCTGACATCAGGACGCACTATTGTTGGAGCATTTCTGTGCTCGCTTATAAATATCCCTCTCTGAGCCGATTTTTCGTCCCTTCCGTATCCCCTACGCTTCTCAGCCATCGGAAGCGTAGGTCTCTCCTGTTTCTCACTGCTTCACATTTACATACATAACTTTGTATATCTATTTGTATTTAAATTATTTATCACAGCGAGAGAACGGAAGGGAGAGATCATCGGAGGTGAGAGAATCGTCTGTGGCTGTAGTTGTTGGTGTTCAACTCATTTCATTGTCATCGAAACGACGTCATTAGGTACCATTTCTCATTTCTACTCGCTATGCTTCAGATCTGAGTTTATCCTTGCAATGTTTGACATTTGACTTAAGATATTTGTTAGTAGATGATAATATTAGGGTTTTAATCGGCTCATTTTTGTTGATTATTTGGTCTAAAGTTTTCTGCTTGTGAAGCTGTTGTTTTCCGTTGTTTGATTCCTTAATGCTCGTAAGTTTAGCAAGTTTATGTGCGATTTTAGGTTTTCATGACTGTTTGTTTTGTTATTGGTTTTGAATTTGCTTTGTTTTCAAACAGTTTAAAAGCTTTTGAACTAGTGTCACTCGCGTGAACTTGCATGCATGTGCGCAGGTTTTTGATGGGAAGGAGCTTGGTCCCAATTTATCTCGTTGTGTTATACTTCCTCTGTTCATTTTTACTTGTCCGAGTTTGCACATCCCTTAAGAAATACGTAATAAATGAAGTGCATAATTTACTATGATGCCATATTAATTGATGCATTTTTTAATGAATTTGAGAAGATGATTTGAAATGAATAATTAATATTTTGAGTATAATAGGAAAAAAGAAATTGTCTTTTCTTGATATGCTAAAAGTAAAAAGTAAAAGTGAAAATCTTTTTTTAAGAATACTGGACAAGTAAAAGTGGACGGAGGGAGTATTTGTTATTTGCTAGCTGTTTGAGGTTCCTGTTCTCTGCAAAGCCATTCAGTTTTCTATATTTGTACTCGAAGTGCTCTTTGACTGCTTATAAGGGTGGGATAGCCTATCGGTAAGGGCCCTTCACCTCCAACCATATATTTGGGGTCCAAGTCACCAAGGGCGCAGTGTGGGAAAGGGTCACAGTTGGGTGTCTGGGTGGCTAGGGATTTTAGGTTGGGGAGGGGATTACCACATAAAAAACTTATCCTACATTGTGCAAGGTGCACATTTGGATGTGTTTCTTTGTTTCTGCTGAGACCGTGTGTACTACTCTTGAAGTAACATACTACTCTTGAAGTATGAAGTAACGTGTTCTCTTCTGTTGTGTAGTTCGCTCTGTATCTCTCTTTTGGGCAGCCTGTATTTTGATGTTTTGACTTTATTACATTATTAGTGCTTTCTTCTAGCACTGTGTCAATTCTTCAAGGTCATGAATATAATGCATGAAAAAAGTGACTCATGGGGTCCTTTTCCAGTATATGATTGTTTTGTTTTACTCTAATTCTCATTTCATGCTTTTAAGATGTCGTGTGATTTTCTGGTGCCAGAGGTAATTCGAGATTGAAGCTTGATATGACTGCTACTGCAACTGCATCTTCTGCTGGTCCGCGTTACGCACCAGAGGACCCCACCCTCCCAAAACCTTGGAAAGGCCTGGTTGATGGTAAGACTGGATATCTATATTTTTGGAATCCAGAGACCAATGTTACCCAATATGAGAGGCCTGTTGCTCCTTCCCATGGGGGTACTGCTCCACAACATAAATCATCGGTATCTGTAAGTTCATCAGTTCAAAGGCCTTCTCAAGGTCAGCGTCCTGACAATGATGATGAGAATGAATACAACAGAGGTAGCAATGGTGGCTTGAGCAAGCTTTCTTCTGGTGAGGGTATTCAGGTATCTGGTTCTAATTAATATGTGTGAATTCATTTTCTTCTATCTCTCTCTCTCTCTCTCTTCCCACCTTTGGTGACTTATAGTGACACACAACAGTGAAATCAGCAAACATTTGTATTGAATAGTATCTTGGATATTCGATTGTCATTTTTCAGAATCACTATTTCAGATTGATGACCCATGTTCTCTCTGGTAGTTTTCAAGGCAAATTAGAACTTGCAAGAATATTCTTGTTTTCGGCCTCAGTAGATTTCTGCTTCTGGTCTCTGCAGATCTTTTCTTTTCCCTCAAACAGTTCCAAAACTGTCTTCCATGTTTTGCTTACAAAAGTTTTTTCTCATCATTTTATAGACTGCAAGAGAAAGTGAGGTTTTCCGCGATGAAACATCTGTACCTAAAAGCTATAGTGCTCCATCTGCTGCAAGTAACATATCTCCAGACGCCTATCGGCGTCAGCATGAAATTTCTGTTACAGTAAGCATCTGTACCTTTTCAATTATGTAAAAACCATTCCTCTATTAGTCATTTATCTTCAACTTTGGAAACTGGAGGCCCTGTTGGCCATTGGTTTAACATTTGGCAATACTTGGGAATTAAATGAGGTAGTTCCATAAACATTCATAAAAAATTGAGGCAGTTTCATGGAAAGATAGTAAGAAATTTGATTTTCGACACTTGAGGATCTTAAGGAACTTGTAGATAATACTAATGAAGTTGGTATCAATTTAATTAATTGCATATGTTTATCTCTATCATGTTTAATGGACGAGGAAACTCGTATTTTTGTTGGCCAGTTGCCCCAATAATGTCTATGGCCTATGGGTAGCGCATGAAATTATGTTGATGCTAATAACAACATTTTGTAGAGATTTTCTGAGAAATCACTACTACTTGCAATGTAATAACAAATAAAAGAGCAGTTATCACTTTGGTGACAACAGTGAGGAACTTTTTTGTAGTCTGGGTAATTCTTAACTTAATTTATTTAAACAAGAAATGCAACTCAGTTTGGCCTTCTGTTATCTTCATCTATTCAAAGATCTGCCGTTTTTGGTCTCTTTGGTATGTGATAATCATTGCCAATGCAGATAGATTTGACTCGTAAATTTATACTTCTTTATATGTGCACACAGATCATAGCACTGACTGTGGCTTCTCGTACGTGAAACTGATGATAACTTCATTACATTACTCATGTTGCTCATTAAAAACCTGAATATTCATCTTTTATCATCTTTCTAGAATCCATCATTCCATGCAAACTAGGCCCAAAAGGGAATGTCAGTCATACTTATGTCTTATTTTGTGTTCCATTTTTCCAGGGAGGTGATGTGCCCCCACCTTTCACATCATTTGAAGCAACTGGGTTTCCTTCGGAGCTTTTGAGGGAGGTATAATGTAGTCCATTTGTTTGTTTTAATGTCTTTCGGGAATATCTCTAGTGCAGAGATTACTCTAAGGATCAAGTGTTCTTCTGTTAACTTCAATGGCTGCTGGAGATCCATTGCAGTACTCATCCAATTTTTCCTTCTGTACTTTGACGCAGGTGCGATATTTGCTCCAGGGAGGAGCTAAATGTCGTACGCTGTGCGGCCCTCTATTTGGTCTTCCATGTATTTGGAGTGCCCTTATTTGGTGGACCAAATTGTGAAGGGCTTTCTGAACCATCCTTGTTCGTGGCTGGGACTGCTTATGGGTGGTGTTTCAGTCTGCCACATGGTCTGAACTGAAGAAGAGGCATCCTCCTGCTCTTGTTTGCATATGCAAGCGTTGGCTGCCTGCGTAAGGGGGATATGCTTCTTCTTGTGTTGGCCACTTCAAAAAATCCTAGAAGTAATCTAGGAGTGACTTCCGGGCTTGTACAGCTGCTGACAGGTTTTCCAATTTTACATTTCCAGATACATCAAGCTGGTTTTCCTGCTCCTTCCCCGATACAGGCACAGTCCTGGCCCATTGCACTTCAGGGCCGCGACATAGTAGCTGTTGCAAAGACTGGATCTGGGAAAACTTTGGGTTTCTTGCTTCCTGGCTTTATTCATCTAAAACGACGTCGCAATAATCCTCAATCAGGCCCTACTATTTTGGTTCTGTCGCCTACAAGAGAGTTAGCTACACAGATACAAGACGAAGCTGTGAAGTTTGGTAGATCGTCAAAGATATCTTGCACGGTATAAATTGTTATTTGACCGTGTTTGACGTAAAAGTTTGATACTAGAAGTAGATTGTTCTTTTGATTTCAAAGTACTGATGCTTGGGCTAACTAATTTATTAATATCTTCTAATCAGAAGGCAGCTAGCACTGTCACCTTTTTTTTGGCTATACTCAACTCTACTATATTTTTCAGTAAAGTATGATTCTAATCTTTTTAAATGAGTGTTTGGTCAAAAGTGAACCTAGTGGTTAATCATTGTGTTTCTCGGGTTGTGCTATAATAAACACAGTTGGTTAGTACTCTGCAATCTCCTTAAATGGTTATATGACCTTTTTTTTGGGTCAAACATGAGTTTTGTTTATGTAAATAGCCATGCATCACAATAGCGTTGTGCATTATGAAAAGGTTAAGCCCCATATACCAAATGATTTTATAAATTTTACAGCAGTATATTCTTCTGCACCTGCCCGTAGAAGAATTAACTAATATTGACATGCTAATGTGTGGGACAGATGAACCAAGTGAATCTGTGTTAGACATTTCTTGAAATTGACAATACTGTATGGTTTTTGGTTTGTGTCTATACTGAGTCACCCCAAAAGGCCCTCAGCGTTGACATATTTTTTTAAAATTGACAATGCTTTATGGTTTTTGCTTAGTGTCTATATGGAGGCGCCCCAAAAGGCCCTCAGCTGCGAGATCTGGATAGGGGAGTAGATATTGTTGTTGCTACCCCTGGTCGTTTGAATGATATTTTGGAAATGAGAAGAATTAGGCTGGATCAAATTTCTTACTTGGTGTTAGATGAAGCGGATCGTATGCTGGACATGGGATTTGAACCTCAGATAAGGAAGATTGTGAAAGAGGTGCCGACACGACGGCAGACACTGATGTTCACAGCGACATGGCCAAAGGAGGTCCGTAAAATTGCAGCTGATCTATTGGTTAATCCAGTTCAGGTTAACATTGGGAATGTTGATGAGCTTGTTGCAAACAAGTCTATAACACAGGTGCTTTTCTGTTTTCTTTCTTGGACATTGCTCATTAGATGTGTCTAAGATTCTTCCTCTCCTAAACTGGGTTAAGAGGACTGAGGTGTCCTGGTAGAATGCCTCTCCTATTTCCCTGAGCCCCGTGGAGGGAGAACCTGTACTGGACATAGTGGGGTTACATTATATTGAATTAATTGTCACGTGCAGTACGTTGAAGTCTTGTCATATATGGAGAAACAAAGGCGGCTAGACCAGATCTTGAGATCCCAAGAACCAGGATCAAAAATCATTATCTTCTGTGCAACAAAGAAAATGTGTGACCAACTTGCTCGCAATCTTACACGCCCATTTGGAGCTGCTGCAATTCATGGTGATAAATCTCAGGGTGAGAGGGATCATGTATTGAGCCAGTTCCGCACGGGTAAATCCCCCGTTCTTGTCGCCACAGATGTTGCTGCCCGGGGCTTGGATGTCAAAGATATCAGGTTGCTGGATTTAAGAATTTTATAGTATGCTTGACTATTTGTGGGTCACACGCAATTCTCTTTTGATGGCTAACTGAATGGAAGAATATTACATACTTTCACTTTCTTAAGGAGTGTGTCTTCGGATTGATATCGTCTTAATATACTCTTTCCATGTTACTTCCCCTTAGTTGATGGGAAGTGAACAGTTGTGCTTTGTTTTTGGGGGTGGTTAGGCGACTTTGAGAGAGCATAGGCCAAAGCTGCAAATTTATACCTTTTTTGTAAGTTGTAACCTAAATCACAGGTGAATGTGTGATGTCATGATTTAGTTGGCAAAAGTAGACTAGACTGATGAGTAAAGTTTACATTGTATCTTGTCCTAGAAATTACATTGTGAGGATTTTGTTTGCTTCCAGGATACTCTAGCTGTTCTGTTAGGTAGATAAGATATACTCCGGCATGGTGTAACATCGTCCTGGGATTTTATGGTTTTATATTTGAAATTTTATGCATCCATATAAATTTTCTTTAACAAGTAGTTTTTTTCTTCTTTTATGGGTGGGGGTGAGGGGATATCTTTTGTGTATGTTAATACTCGATGAAACATTTGTGGCAGGGTGGTGATCAACTTTGACTTTCCTACTGGAGTAGAGGATTATGTTCACAGAATAGGAAGAACTGGCCGGGCTGGTGCGACTGGTGAGGCCTACACATTTTTTTGTGACCAGGATGCTAAGCATGCTTCAGATCTTATTAAAATTTTAGAAGGAGCAAATCAGCGAGTGCCTACTGAATTACGTGACATGGCTTCTCGTGGTGGTGGTATGGGAGGGGCTAGGCGTCAATGGGGTTCTGGCCCAGGCGGACGTGAAGGAGGACGTGGGGGACGTTATGATTCCGGCTATGGTGGACGAGATGGAGGAAGGGGTGGTTGGGGAGCCCCATCATCGGAAAGAAGTGGACGTGGTTATGACTCGGATTCACGTGACAGGTCCTTAGCTGTGTATTTAACTATATATGGATTTCTTTTTCCCCCTTTTGCCCCATTGTACTGACTAGTTTGTTGTGATTTAGTGATAGTTATGGTCATGGCTCTCGTGATACCGACGCTCCACCGAGCTTCCATGCTCGTAGCTTCCATGAAACTATGATGCAGGCTTCACAGAGACGTGGTCGAAGTCGGAGCAGAAGCCCGAATAAAGGTTCAGGATGGGGTGATACAAAAAGCAGGGAACGCAGTCGCAGCCGTAGTGCTGAAAGATTTGATCAGGCTCCTCCTCGTCAAGCCCCAGTGGGACGGAGTTTTCATGAAAGCATGATGGGGCGCAGTGGATCATCCCCAGTGGCCTCTAAACACCGATCACCCTCTTACTCTGATAATCGATCTCCATCAGCTGGTGATTGCCAAAAGGGCTGGGAAAAAGAAAAATCTCCACCTAGATGGCTAGGTGATGGGAAACTTGGCAATGGACCTCGTGCTTACAATGGGGAGGAGGAAGAAGGTATGATTCCTGAAGACGTCGAAACGAGGGCCTAACATGGCATGTCTTATATTCTGTGTTAATTTTGATGTGTTGTAGCTACCCCGTAGGATTTGCAGGAAGAAAAAGAACCTTTTTTTGCTTTGGTTTAACTATCACCAGTACTGCATTTTTTGGTAAACAATGTTCTCAGGTAGAAGCTCTTAGCGTATTGAAAGTAGATAGCTGAAAGTGAAGTTTTTGACGGATGTAAATGTAAACAATGTGACATCAAGCTTGGTTTAATGGTACTATAGCAATCATACATTGCTAAGAAAAGCCCACTTTGAAGTGTTGTTTGCGTTGATTCTCTTGAATCCTAACTGTTCATTAGGTCTTTAGCATGAGCTAATTTCAGTAGTTCATGCATTATTTCGAAAGCCATGAGCAAAATTAGGCTTCTTTCTTTTTAGGCAAAATGCCTTCCTGGCCACTTAAACTTGTAGGGCTTTTGAAAGCTGATACATGAACTTTGTATATTTTCCATTTGAACACTCGAACAAATGATTCCCTTAACTAATGAACACATCTGACCCTTGAGCCTATGCGCGTGTATTACACATACACTGACGTGTCTATCCAGTCAGCAAATGACCAATCCAAAAGTAAGACCCCACCCAACTGATGACATGTGTAATTTTTAAATAAAAATTATCACCTATATTTATATTTTAAAAATAAAAATAAATACAATAAGAAAGAAAAAACTTAAACCCTTCCAGCTTCCTCTTTCCCGTTCCTTTCCCATCATCCCCCCTCCCTCCACACCTGCAACTCATTCGTCTACTTCCATATCAGCACTCCCTTCCTAGGTTCTTCGTCCTTTCCTCTCTCTCTCAAAATTTTTCTTATTTTTTTTCTAGCTAGGTAGATTGTCGGAGAAATTTTTCGATCAGTACTGTCGCAGAATTGATTTTCTTTAAAGTTGTGACAATTAATTCGTTGTAGTGGCCAATTGGCGTGACCTCCTCAGCAGGAATCGATTGGCATTGCTCTTGGGCGATTTGGACCACTGGAACGCCATCTCCGACCAACTGGAGCCTGTCGGAGAGTCGCAGGTCATCAGAAGTGGTGATTCCTACAGTGAATTCTCCTGATTTTTTGTGGAGAGGTAGTTCTTGGTGTGGAGAACAATCTCTACGGCTTGGAATTGCAAGATTGAATGGTTAAAAAATTGAAGAATAGTCAGAACCGATGAATTGAAGTGGCTTTTCTCTAAATCTGACCCGATGAGTTTTTTTATTTTTTTAAATTAATTATTTACCTTTTTTTTTAATTATTTATCATATTCACGCGCTTAATACCGGTGATTAACACGCAATTGGCCACATCAGCTATAATATTGTCACCCAAGCATAGTCAACGGTCAAATGTGTTTATTAGTAGACATTTTCTCAAGTTCGAGTTTTCAAATGGAAAAATCCAAAGTTCATGTATCGGCTTTCAAAAGCCCTACAAGTTTAAGTGGCCAGGAAGCCATTTCGCCTTCTTTTTATTTTTAAGTTAAAAAGGAGGTGTAGGATGAACACTTTATTACATTCACATTATTTTATTGGACACAAATTGGAGGAATGCCAAGCGAGAGGTATGTTCGTCTCTGAATTGGTATACTTGTAGCAAATTTATCGGAATGTGTTGAATGTTAATGAGCGACTGTATATCTTATTAAGCGACATTGCATAGTTCCTAGATTGTGCCAGTTCTGCTAAATTCAGTGATTATGTCAAGACCATTGAATGCACAATGCAACCATATCAATTTCAAGGTTATATTTCCTTTCAAAGTGTGAGCCAAGGGTCTTTCGGAAATAGCCTCCCTACTCTCCGGGTTGCATACACTCTATCCCTCCCCTTACCCCACCTGTAGTAACTCACTGGGTTATTGTTTTTGTATTTCACTATTTCTTTTCAAAGAGTGTTAAAATAGGCTGAAGTTCTAGGTCGCTGAACAACCCAGAAAACTGTTAAAGTGACAATAGAAAGTCATGCCATATAAAATATATGTGTGGTAAAGTTGATCCTACTGTATCTAACCAGAAATAGTTTTATATATCCTTCCATCCCTTGAGTCAAATTGTATTTTTGGGGAAGAGCTTCATTAGAGATCTTTGACTTTTTAATGATAGAGAAGGTACATAAAAAGTGGAGTATTGGTTTTCAGAATTAGACCTCGCTATTGCTGTGGAATTCAAAGGGGCATGAGAAAGGACTGCATTAACAATAATCAAAGGTATAAAAAGATTGAAATGAATATATCCTAATGAGAGTTTTTCCTATTCTTTACAGAGTTGCAAATTCAGACTTGATACTTTTCTTCACTTGTCATGCAACTTTTGGCTTGGGCTGTAATCTCTTTGCTCTTGAATATAGAAAGACTCCAGCTAGAGCTAGAGCAGTCCCTGAAAATATTGAATAATTCACAAATCACTTGCTGGTCAACTAATAAATTCACTCTACCAACAAACAGAACATAATGAAGAAACTGAAGCAGTGCCAGAAAAAAGAGTGCATTAACTAGAGAAACAAAATTTACCAAGAGAGTTAATTGGTGAGACAGGTGTTTGGAAAAAGATGACTGAGGATACAATGACCACCACTCTCTTCACACAATTGCCAACTGCATGTGTCACTGGTGATATCATTTGTAGTATCATGTATGAGACCTTCCAAAAACAAAAAACAATAAAAAATTTATTAAGGATATACTCGGGCGGAGCCAGAAATTCTAGCAAGGGAATTCAAAAATAGCACCACACATGGGATTGGAAACTGCGACCTAGAGCAATTTATGAACTACCTTCACCACTATACATTAGAAACTTCTCTTATGTTAAGGGGATTCAATAACTTATTTATCCACAAAAACATTTGTTTTAACTCTATTTACACAGTACAATTTAGGCCCTAAATATGGGCAATGAGATTTAGATAATGGCTAAAAAGGTAGATTATAATGTAAAATTACAGGAAGCTAACCTGTTGGTAACTGTGAAGGCAGAATCCAGCTAAAAGAAGTCTCACACATAGTTCTCTGACATTTAAACCCCGGCTTGCCTAAATTGATGCAGAAGATGAATGTCACATTGTAAAAAAACAAGTAGAAAATAGAAAACACTTAAAAGATGGAATATTACTTACAGCAAATTGTAGATAGGATGGAGTAAACTTGATCCCTTCCATCAAAATGGCAACAGGAACCAAAAGGATGAATGAAATGATTGTAATGATAGAGAACAAGTTGATATTGTCCAACGCCTCCTATTTGACAATCGTTGCTGGTTATGGATTTCACAAGACAAAATAATGCATTTCGTTTGTTTTTACTAAGGAAGGGGAGCCTTGGCGTAAACGATAAAGTTCATGCCATGTAACTAGGAGGTCACGGGTTCAAGTCGTGGAAACAGCCTCGTGCAGAAATGCAGGTTAAGGCTGCGTACAATAGATACTTATGGTCCGGCCCTTCCCGGTAAAGCTCATGCCATGAGACCAGGAGGTCACGGGTTCAAGTTGTGGAAACAGCTTCTTGCAGAAATGCAGGGTAAGGCTGCGTACAATAGACCCTTACCTCGGACCTCGCGGATAGCGAGAGCTTAGTGCACCGGGCTGCTCTTTTTTCTTGTTTTTACTAAGATTATGATGTCTGTATCTGAATACATATCTAAATTTTTAAGATGTTGTCTCTGAATCTAAACTCTGAATATTATTTCTCGTGAATGCAAGTGTCTTTACCTCTTCTTTAACCATGAATTTTTTGCTAAATACATTACGTGATTGGTTAGTCAAATTGGAAGCCATTGCACTGCCAAAGCCTATCCTGTTTCAAAGAGAGTTCAAATCAATGTATAACTTTGTTATTCAAGATAAAATATACATATTATTTGATTAGTAGGGAGAGGCATACCAATTAAAAGAGGCTTCAGTCATTGATGCTAATGCTACTCCACCAACAATGGGAATCAGGGAAGATACAATCCAAAGAGATGGCCTCTGTATGTTAAAGATAATCAACAATAAATTGATATTTATCTTGTATTATTTTCAAGCCATATTTGCTTGTTGTATATATACATAATATTTTTCAATAAATACATTGTTTGCACACATAAAGAGAATTTTACAAAACATTGTCAAATGACACCCCATAAGCTTGTTTCGATGGTTGTTACATGACATCTTTGTTTTGATTGTTACTTAAATTGTATTGTATCGTATCATTAAATCCGTCGTTCTGCAACGACGAAAAGTGTCACTTTATGGAATGACCGATTTGGTGTGGCCGCATCATTACCTTTTTTTTTCCTCTCATCTTGCCCTTCCTTATTATTAAATAATCCTATTTTATCTGTTACCCTACCTTTAGTATAATAATTCTACCTCATACGTTACTTCTTTTTTAAAATATTACAAGTTTTTTCTTCATATTGTTGTTGCATGACATCAGGAAACGACAACAAACAATACAATCTATCCAATCTTGTATACATCAAAACGATACAGTACAATACAATATTATATGATACGTTATGAAACGACACATAACAACCATCCAAACAAACTGGTGCCACTGTTCGGAGAAAATATCTAAAGATGAACAGAAAAATAAAATAGGGAAGAAATATGGTTGCAAAAGTTTTATACCTCTGCAAAAAACAGGGCCGAAAGAAGTACTGTAAAAAATGGTTCCATTGCTTTGATTGTGTGAGTGAAGGAAACTGCTACTCTCCCAAGACTGATGTTCGTTAAAAGATTTCCCAATGTGTGAACTGCAGCTAGTAAAAATATTGCTTTAAACTGGAAATTCAAGCCAAAAAAAAAAAAGAAGAAGTTAGTCGTACTAAAAAAAAAATCATCATAACAGAAAAAGAATCAATTTGACTTAGCGTGTGTTTTGTACGAGGGAAGTCATTATTTTTGAAAAATATTTTTCGATATATGGTTGGTAAATAGAAAATATATTTCCAGATCATAAATGTTTAGAATCCATATTACGTAGCAGATATTATTTTTGCTAATTCAAATGGAGGGGTGATATATTTTTGAATGCTAAATAGTATTAATAATAATAATAATAATAATATCAAATTGTTTGTCGGAATAAGTAATACTTATGAAGTTACAAATTTGGATAATTGCCACGAAAATGGCTTTTGTCCATGAGCAAAAGAAGTCATTTTCTTCCTTTCGATAAAAATAATTAACTTAAAAAAGATTAACCAAACATAGAAAAAAGGTAGCCCGTTGTACTAAGCTTCCACTATGCGCGAGGTCTAGGAAAGGATCGGACCACAAGGGTCTATTGTACGCAGCCTTACCCTGCATTTCTGCAAGAGGCTCTTTTCACGGCTCGAACCCGTAAACTCCTGGTCACATGGCAGATACTTTAACTATTACGCCAAAGGCAGCCCGGTGCATTAAGCTCCAAACTATGCGCAGAGTCCAGGAAAGGCCGGATCACAAAGGTCTATCGTACGCAGCCTTACCCTGCATTTCTGCAAGGAAGTGTTTTCACGACTCGAACCTGTGACCTCCTAGTCGCATATGGCAACAATACACCAAGGCTCCCCTTCATTAACCAAACATAAGAAAATGACTTTTTTTCTTGAAAAATTAACTTTAATCCTATCAAATACACCCAACATAAAAAAGAAGACAAAGAGAAAGAGAAAGAGAAAGAATAACTTGAGATTTACTGATGTTGGGTTTAGGGTGGAGACGAAATCCCCACATAAATAGTATCAGCATTGTTCCACAGCCAAATTGAAATGCTGTAACAGTTGCCGGAAATGGAAAAACCTTGAGAACTTGTTTATTGTAAATGTTGTAATATATATTCAAAAGGTACCACGTTCCAAACATAGCGCCCAGTTGCAGAGTCTGTGCCAATTCACGAGGCTTTGAACCCTCAGATCTTTCAGCATTTTCCGTCACAGCCCTAACTTTGAGCAGAGCGAATCGATACGTGTTTCTATTGAAGCTTGAAAACGAAGGCGAAGAAATGAGAGTACTAGTTTTGTGAATTGAGCAATTAATTGGCCTGTGAAAAGCAAAATGCTGAAAATGCGCATTTAATTTACAGGTAAAAATTTGATTTAGAGGTTTCTGAGGCTTTAGAAATGGCGTAGAAGGAGACATGTAAAATGTAGAGATTTCCATTTTCTCAGAATTTGTGATTTCAAGCCAAGCTTTGGAACTTAGTTAAAGGTGAAGTTTCTTAACAACATTAATGGTTGACATTCATTCTTTGGCATGGCAAAGACGAACGACGTCGTTGGCTTATATATGTAGGCCGCTGAAATTAAATGGCTGCGGCGCGTAATTTGGCGGGACCATATGGAGTATTTATCACCATTTTTATTTTGAACAAGTAGCCTTGATGTAACTGGTAAAGTTGCCTCCATATGACCAAGAGGTCACGGATAGGGGTGTCAATGGATATTTAAAAACCGACCAAACTGTACCGTATCGTATAGAACCGATTTTTAGGTTTCTTTTTATTAAACCGTAGGTTTTTATATAAATCTTTAACCGTAACGATAATTAGGGTAAGTTTTTTATTTTATGAAAATAAACTGGGAAAAAACCGAACCGCACCGAATAAATATTACAACGTAAAAAATATATTTATATGTTAATTTTAGCAATAATAAAGCATTAAATTTTTTCTTGGGCCTTGGAATTATGAAATAGTACAAGCCAATAAGTAATTAAACTCAAAATCCTAATTCCCAAACCGATTATGCAACTTCTGTGAAACTAAATTATTTCCAGCATATTCACTAGCAAAACACAAGGTATTGTAGCGATTAAGAGTTGCAACCTACAATGTATTGAATATATTTACTTTCGTATGAATTAGATTTATCTTTTTAAAATGTTTAATCTTCTATAGACTTTATTCTTGAATCCCAACTTGGTTAACATATTTTCACTCGTGTGATTTATATTTTTTTTGTATTTGCTTAGTTTTGTTTACACTGTTGTAGAATATTTGATGGATCTATACTCTAGCCATCTTTTATATTTTCTTAATTAACCACCTTATAAACTATAAAAATATCCTAGAGAGTTTTGCTAAGTCATATAAAAGTATTGCATTTTCTACTAGTGACTTTTACATGACATTTAAAAAAATTATTGAAAATTTATCGAACCGTATCGATACCGAAGAGAAACCGATATGATCGAGACAGTTTCGAAAAGTCTAATTTTAATTATACATAATAGAATAACCGAAAAATTAATATCGTACAAAATTTATAAAATAACCGATCAAGCCAAGCCATTGATACTCCTAGTCACTGGTTTGGAAACAACCTATTACTGAAATGCATTACTACTTAAAAGATAGTACTTTTTTTTAAGCCAATCTAATCTAAAGGCTCATCATTGTCTCGTACTTCTATACGGCATTCGATTTATTACATATGACGGGATCTTATTGAATATAAAGTTAATTTAAGCAAGAAAAAATTGTTTTTGATATATATCAAAAATATCCTTCAGAAATGTAGTCAATATGCAATAATGTTTTCATGGCTCTAAGAGCATATGATTTAGAATTAAACGAGAAATTTAATTTAAAATTTTTTCAAATATAAATTATTATTTTTTTTGAAAAAAATAAAATAAAAAATGAGTGTTACATAAATTGAACAGACAACTCACAGTTATTTAAGAATTTAAGAATCAAATTCATAAAACTTCTCAAAGTTGCAATATTGATGTAGCAAATAACTTTTCAACCACTCAGATATAATCACATAAAAAGAAATTAAGTATTATATTACTTGAGAAACATTTTTTTTAATTATTGATGAGTTGTTATTTGGTTGAGTTGTACTGAAAGAGATCTTACTATTAAATATTAGTATCAATAGTAGTGGTGTGTGGTGGTTTTGGAGAGAATGAATGCAAGTTTTGTGATCTATGCTTTCGTGGTCACAATATAATGTGACCTGACTTGCCGGTGAACCGGAGGAAGAGTCAAAATTTTAAGTTTATGTGTTCGGGATTTTAATTTTTTTAAGTTACTGGACTCTAAATTAATAACATGTACATATTTAGTGAAAAATTTAAAACAAATACATGATTTGAACCAAAGCTACTGAATTCAGTCGAACCCGTAACCGACATTATGGCTCTGCCTGTGCAGAGAATCCTGATTTGTATAAAGTATATTTTTCCTTTTTTGGCAGGCGATTTCCGTCCAGATAGATTTAATTGCTTTTCAACAGTGTCAGATAATGTCTAGCCGGTAAACTCTATATCCAATAAAACAGTGTCACATAAATATGGGACAGAAGGATATATGTATTCTCACTTTAATTTTTAACTGCTACAATTTAATCTATAGACTTGGTGTAAATATCAAATACTATAAGGGGTCGTTTGGTTGCTGGTTAGAGTTATGCAAGTATTAGTTATATATGGATTAGTTATGTAGGGATTAGTTTTTTTGAATATTTGGTTTGTTATATTAGAAATTGATACACATTATATAAAATTTAAAGTAAAATAGTTATTTACCGATTTTGTCTCTAATAGATTGAGAAGAGGAAGAACCTAGCAGTGACGCATCAATATCTCCATGCTTGCTCTCCAAAGGGTTTGATACAGATCAATCTATCGAAGGAAGTCTTTATGTGTAAAGTGCTAGGGGTAAATTTGTCATTTCAATATTTTATCTATGTATTACTAATACATGTATTAGCTATCCCATCTTCTACCCTGCATAAAATAATACATAGATTGAGTCATAACTTATACATGTATTATTTATGTAAAATTGTAAAATGATTACCTAACATGTTATTAGTTATGCTGAATTTTGTACAAAATAACTAATAACTACCAAACATTGTATAAATTATGTTGCCCTCAATACATAAATAACTTTTCTCCTAACCAGCTACCAAACGACCTCTAAGTATTTAACATATCTTGATCAGGGACGGCCCTTCCATAAAGCAAATAAAACAACTGCTTTAGGCTCCACATTTATGGGGGGGCCCATTTTTTGTTACATCTCATAGGCTATATATAAGTTTAAAAAAGGGGTTTTGACACAGTTACCCATAAAAACAAAACTATTTACCCTTGTCTACCCATTTGTTTTTCTACCCATAAACTAATTACATTTTCTACCCATAATAGGTTTTTTGGGGAATTTTTTCTTTAATCTCAATTCTTTTTTATTTCTATGCTTCTTTTCTTTTTTTTTCTTTTTTCCTTTTCTTTTTTCTCGTTTTATTCTTAATTTTTTTCTTTTTGCCTTTTCTAATTTCACTTAACTTCTTTTTTTTATATTCTTTTTCTTTTCATAATCTAATTTCATTTACTGTTTTCACTATTTTTTATTATTCTTTTTTTATATTATTACTAAATAAAAATCAAATCGTGTACCAATTAAATGTAGCTAATACAACCCAAAAAATATTAACTAACATATGATACGAGTATAGTATATAGCTATACCACCAGGGTATACAATTATACGCAAAGAGTTAAAAAAAATTTAATTCAATTATTAAACTGAAATAATATCAGTTGTCAATAAAAATTTCAAAAAATTCTAAAAGGAACTAATTGTAAGAGTATACCGTTATATTATATATCACTATAATATTATTTATTTTTTTGCATTTTCAATTTGTCCCTCACGCTGGGTAAAAGCTTAAAGCAAATTAAAAGAGAAAAGGCAAGTAAATTTACGTGTAATAACTATACTATTATAGTATATGTATACCATTACAGCATAATATTGCAGTATATTGCATATTATTACAGTATACTATAATAATATATTGTATACTGTAATAATATACTGTTGCAGTATAACTATATACTTCTATAGTATATTATATACTGTAGTGGTATACTATTAGGTAACTATGTTCTTATTCGATTATTACAATACACCGTTGCAGTATATTGTAAACTATAATAGTATACTGTTGCAGTATAGCTATATGCTCCTACAACATATTGTATACCGTAGTGGTATACTGTAGCTGTGTTCTTTTTCGATTTTTAACTGAAAATTTCGATCTCAATCACCTCAAATCAACTCCAAATGCTATTAAATTTCAGCATGAACTTCCAGAAGGTACTATAAGTAATATTTAACAACACCCTGAATATGATTAAGGTAATAAACAATAATTGCGATGTATAACTTTCTAACTTTTCGTTAGTCAATTTGCAGTAGTAGATAATCCTCATGACTCATAAATGAATTTATTTCTAACTCAATTCACAAGAACATACACAGACATAAAAGTTGCACTTCAACTAAATTTAATACTTTAGTTCGACCTTAAACATAAATTTAGTGGGCGTTTGGACATACCAATCGTAAAATTTCAAAACAAAAAAAAAACCTTTTCAAGTGAAAAGGTATTTAAAAATTAGAGTTGTGTTTGGACATGAATATAATTTTGGTTGTTTTTGAATTTTTATAAATGATTTGAGCGAAAAATTTAAAAAACAGTTTTTTGAATTTTTCAAATTTTTGAAAAATTCTAAAATTTATAGCCAAACATTAATTTTGAAAAAAAGTAATTTTTTTTTAGGAAAAGTAAAAAAAATAAAAAAAAATCATGACCAAACGGACTCTTAACTTTCATTCTGCGATTTGTCAAAAGTGAACAAAATTGGAAGAAGAAGAAGAAGAAGAAGAAGAAGAAGAATATAGGATGTAAATTGTACAATAGTCAAACAAGGGGAAGGAGGGGGGAGGCAATCAAATCGTGGAAAATTGAAGATGAAATACAGGAGATATGTATGGAGGTGGCGGTTATGGTGGTGGTGGACATTATTCGATTTAATGTACTTAATTTTGGCCTATTGTTAAATTGGCCTTTAGATTAGTATCCATTACTGTTTTAGTGTGGTTGGTGTTATTGTCCTTTATATTTGGTTAAGATACTGTGAATCTGTATTTTACAAAGTTTCATGGAATCTAGTAAATGATGGTTTACGAAAAAGAAATACAGGAGAGATGAGACTGACCCATAAGAAAGAAAGATTGTTGGAAGGAAAAAACCGGGTAAATAGTTTTATGCCCATGGATAGGAGTAGTAAATAGTTTGAGTCTGGGCAATAAAGGGTAAATAATTTAGGATTAATGGGTATAAAGTGAGATTTTCTCTTTAAAAAAAGGTTCTGTGAAGTGAAAAAGATTGATAGAGAATAAAGATTTGTAACTGCTATGATTTCTGCCAAAAAAATTTGCACTTGAAATGAATATCTAAC